GGGCCGGCGCGGCGGCTGGACACGCACAGCAGGCAGCGGGTTGCGACGACGGTGCGTGGACGCGTTGGGACCGGGCGCCTATAATGGGGTAGTGTAGGGGGCGCTGGGTGGGGCCAGGCGCGCCGTCTGAGTTCAGAGGGGACTTGTCACCCGGCGCTGCTACTCTTGTGGGACTCAATCCGCAGGTCATCGACGTGTCGGGTTACTTTTTGGACCTGATGGTGCAGCAGTACGACATGATCCAGCACCTGGACGGACAGCCCCTGCAGGTGAGCAGGGTGAACTTCACCGTGAATTCCAGGGTCGACAGGGAGGCAGCGGCGTGATGCCTGCGGCTGAGTAGATGAGGGGCCGCTCCTCAGGGCGCCCGGTCTTCTTCATTGCATGCAACGGGCCCGCATCAGCATTTCCCCACCACTGCTGGGTCGCGGGCCTCCCCCAAACCCGCACCCTCTCCCGTTTGCACCAACCTAGCACCTGCTCTGCACCTCTTCCCGCGCCCCCTCCCCCGCTCCCGCAACATTCACCGACTGCAAAACCCCCCCTGCCCAACCAATCAACAGTCGATGATCAAGCACAAGCCCAGCGGCCGCTTCCTCTTCCACATGGTCTACTGGAACCGCAAGCAGATCCGCGAGACGGAGAGGATCAGCGCGCTGTATGCAGAAGCTGACGCCGCCGCGCTGGCGGCGGCCCGCGCGGCCGGCAAGGCGTGATCCGCACCCGCGGCGACGACGGCTGCGACCGCGCGTATGCGCCCCGTGGCACCCGCAGCGACGCACGGCGCCTCGATCGACGAGCTCTTGACTTGGGTGCAAGGGCGTCAGTCCCCGCACGACGCGCGCTCGCGCCAGAGTGCAAGGGCGGCGTGCGCTCCTATTAATCTGCTTTGCTCCGCCGAGGGCCGAGGGACATGGCGCCGCACCACGTGCCTGGCGCGGCCTGCTCGGGGGTCTTCTTTGGCGCGCTGCACAAACGCGCGCTGCTTGCTGGTGTATGTGCCAGCTGCACCGCCTAAAATTGTGCGGCACCCGCACTCATGCCGGCGCGCACCTGTTTCCATTTTAACAGATCTGCAGCAAATCGACGCCGGACACATAGTCCAGGCCGCGGCGCGGTTGGCTTGCCTTGGCGCTTGACTTGAAGTATCTCTAAATATCTTACACAGGCACAGATCGAGCCGCAGGAGGCGATGCAAGGTACTGTGTGCGGCACCCCGGGTCGCAGGACCTGGCTGCCGCAGCGGCACGAGCCCAGGATATCCCCCCCCCCCTTGGAACTGATTCTTTCGCCCCTCGCGGGCAGTGGCCGCACATTGTCCTGGCAGGGTCGCCGCGGAGGGGGGAATGGGCCGTTCGCCTGCGCGAGCCCGGGTCCCTGGCGGTGCGCTGACGGTGGCGTTTCTGACGCCGCACGCGCCGCCATCGCGCCCTGCCGCCAGCTCCTGTGCCGGGGTGCCCAGCATGGCGACCTTGTGTTGAAGACTCCCGGGTCGTGTCTTCATGGTCATGAAAACGCACAAAGAACACCTTTCACCCTTCTTGGGCGCCGACTTGGCCTTTTGGCGCCGTGTACTTGCAGTGTTGGCGTCAAGTAGTCATCCCTTGTGTCTGCGGCCTCGCCTTTGGGTGCCGCCCTCCACTCCGCCACTGGGCCCCTTGCGCTTTCATTCCCGCGCATGCAGGATGCAACTTGACAAGATCTCTTTTTCGAGTCATCGCCACTTCATTGGGCTTGGCCCCGCTCACCGCGTTCGTGGCAATCGCAGTCGGCAAACCGCTGCTTCGGCTGCGTCGACGGCACAACATGCTTGCGGCAGGTGGGGGCTCTTGCCCCTAGGGCCGAGTCATTCCCCATATCCTGCCAATCCCCTATGTGCACGCGTATGTGTGCGCCTTGAACAACCCCACTGCGTGGCTTGCACACTTGCGCCGGCAGCGCACTCCTTTGGGGCTCTCAACCATCAGGCAATACTTATGGCACTCCTAGGCACCCTGTAACACTCGCATTCCCTGCCTTTGGTACTGTACTGTCTACAGTTAAAAACAATGCCTAGTGGAGTGCTGTTGCTTTCACAGCTGCGATTGTACCTTTTGTCACTTGGGCAAAAGCTGAAGTGGAACCGGACAATTGTCAGCACGTATGGAAGCACAGCTCGGCAGGCACCTGGCAACTGGCTGCTTTTGCCTGAGGCTGGTCACCGCTGATGCCATGAGTTACTTTGCTGCATGTTCGCATCTCACTTATCCAGCTCCGTGCCAGCCCCTCAGACCAAAGCGCCGCACCATAAATCGCAATGAGCATGGGCGCCGACGTCTAGAAAGACAGCCACGTGGACACACTCGCTCGCGTGCCGCGGGTGCATGCAAACAACAACACCCGCTGCTCCGCTAGCACCGCGCATCATGGCCCCTATCTGGATGCAGTCCCGGCCATCATCCCGGCGCGCATCGCCCCTGCCAGCTCCACAATCGCCGCGCGCGTGCTGACCGGCAGCGCCCGCAGTTCTTTCACCTCGGCCCGCAGCACGGCGGCCTCGAGGGCCGCCGCCTCGAGCGCCTCGACGGCCGCACGCGGCAGCGATAGCGGATACTCCGTCAATAGCTCCAGCGTGTGGGCGCGCACGGCGGCATCCTGCAACCCCAGGGGCGGTACGAGCGCAGTCACCACGGCGCCGCCTGCACCAGTGGCGCAGGCGAGCAGCGCCTCTCTGGCCGCGAGCCGGATGGCTTCGTCCCCAGCCTCTCTGGTGGCCGCGTATGCCAAAGCCGGCAGGACGCCGCGGGCAGATGCGACAGCGCCCGCCAAGTCGGGAGCGCTCTTTGCAACGGCCGCAATCGCCTTGAGCGCATCGACGCTGGGTGGAGTGAGGGCTGTGCCGGCGCGCAGCAGCGCGGCGAGGGCGCCGTCTGCCTCGGCAATAAGGCGCGGGGCGCTGGGGTGCTGAGTCAGCCACCTTAGGACAGAAGCTGCGGCTGGGCGCGCGGCTGTCGCGCCCAGCACTGTGATGAGCGCCGGGACTGCCACACCGACGTCCACCGAAGCGGGATCGGCTTGTACGTTGCTGCACAGGAGGCTCAAAGCGTCCACTGCATGGGGGGAGCCTCCCTGCGCCACCACCCAGATCAGGGCGTCCAGCAAACCTTCGGCCCTTGCCATGCAGCTTGGGGCCCAATATGAGGTTTGCAGCTCGTCCAAGAGCATTTGGGGGGCGTGCGGGGCAGCCGGCGCTGCCCGCATTACGGCCGCGAGCACGGGCAGCCGCCTGGGGGCGCCGGCGAGCACTTTGCGACACGGCTCCTGCGAGAGCAGGTCGGCCAAGGCGCCAGCCGCAAGGGCAGCGGTCTCTGCTGGGCCCGACACGGCCGCATGCAGGAGCAGCGGCACCACTGCCGCCGCGTCATCGGGCGACGGCGGCGCGCCTAGTGTGGAGTCAGCGCCGCGCAGCGCAGCCACAGCTGCGAGCGCCGCATCATTGATGGCGCAGCGGACCGCTAGGCCCAGTGTGGTGGCAACAGCGGGACGCTTGGCCTCTGGCGATGTGTCTGGGCGCGCCACAGCACTGCGCTTCATCGTGCACCTGATGGTGGGATGGCATGCGGTGGTGATGGGGGTGTGGCAAACGACATGCAGAGCAACCATATTCGTGCCCAGCACAGCACAGCACAGCAGGCACAGCACAGCACGGGGTCACGCTTGCAGCGGGAGCATGTAGCACGCACGGGGCGCCACTGGGGCTCCAACCAGACAGCAATACTCAATATCAATACTATTGCTGCCTCAGGCTAGCATGTGCGGCACTGAAGCCGCACCTGATCAATGACGTTTTTGAAAAAACCGGCGATCGCCGTGAACGTATCGCCAACGAAAGAGCGAGCATGTGCGTCAATTAAGTGAATCAAGTATGCAGTGGATACATTTTGATTTCTGCCACATGATTCGTGGCTTGTAGACTTCGCATGCGCCCCCCGCTGGCGCCTCACCAGCATGCTACCCCTCAACAAGATGCAGCTACCCGCCGCCGCAGGGCAGGCATGGAGAAGTGCTGGTGCGTGTGGCGGCGGCATCAATCAACCCTGTAGACGTGGAGACGTACAGACATGATCTGGGGTTGTGCCGCGCCATGTCATTGCCATCCCGCGGGTGGGTGGTCCAGCCCTGGCATGTGGCTGATATGCATAGCGCATGCCTGCGCGGCCCAAGGGGCATGTGCATGGGTTAGCTGTAAGCTGGCACGAGCAGCTGGCCATCAGTGACCTGCCCGCACTGATGATTTATTGAGTCTTCATGACCAAGACCAAGACCCATTATGGAAAATGCCGTTTGACTTGCATAGCGTGCTGCAGCGTTGTGTAATAAGGGCGCTGCTGCAGCTGTGGGCGGGGTGGCCAGCCATGATGTCAAGTTATCAACCGCAACTGCTGCAGACCTGACTCCCAGCAATGCAGTTTGAATTTGGCCAGTTGTTGGGGTGCGTGTGCGGTGGACAAGCAACGCAGCAGTCATCATTTGCTTACGAGCCCTTTGACACCAAGCAGCTGGGTAGTACCGTATTCATGGAAAAGCTCATCCCTGGTAGGGGCAGAAGGCCATGAAAGGCACGTGCTGCGCACACGCAAGCACACGTGCTGCCCGTGGTACTGGAAGCCGGCAGGATGGCGAGGGTTGTGTGCCAAGAGGCACTGCACCCCTCTAAAGGGGCACCACAGCACTCGTAAAGTATAGCCTGTACAAAGCAGACTGCGCTCCTGTGCGCCCGTGGAGCACCAACACGCTTTGCGGCACATTGGTGACGTTCAGGGTATTAGCGGCGCAGCCAAGTTGGTGCAGGTTGAGCTTTGTGCACGTCATCAAATAGAGGAGTATACCTTCCATTTGCCAGGGACTCCAAATTGTAAAGGCAGGGCGTAAAAATCCTCGCATAGCCGGCGGGCAGCAACAAGCATAGCCATATTGGAGTGGCTGGCAGATGGCAAGAGATCTAGGGGCTTTGATCAGTGGGTCGCAACGAATGTGGCACACAATGGGGCAGCAGGGAGGGGCAGCTGGCCCAGCCAAGCGCAAGCAAGTGGCCGATGTAACAGTGCGCAGTCGCTTTTGTGTCTACACAAGACAAACGCACATTATATGCCTTTAATTACACACTTGCAGCGGTAGCTCCAGCCACACGCTGGTGTCAGCAGGCCGCACACCGTCACCAGATGCCCGGCAGCAGGCGGTACGGCGTGGCCCTGCGGTACGCCTCCCACTGGTCGCCGTACTTCCCACTCATGTACTGCTCCAGCATGGGCACCTGTGGGTATGCAGGGGACGTGACGTCAGCGCAGCTGTCGAGAAGATTTGAGCTGAGCAGTGCTGTGTGCGATCAGCCGGTGCTGGACGGCGACATTTCCCCTTCTTGGTGCGTTGCCATCCATGAAAACTCTGATTCCGCACCACATTCACCGCAGCCGGCACTGTGACTGACCCCCGAGCCCGCACCGCGCGCGACCCAAAGTCGTAGGCGTGGAAGGCGGGTGACAGCGCGGCCCAGGGGCTGCAGGTGGCCAAGGCCATGCCCGTGCGCCAGCTGCGGCAACGGTGGTACAACCCAGCCGTGCGGGAGCAGTGGGGGAGCCAAACACGTTGCGTGAGCAGGGGAGCGTGATACGCAAGGCACAGGCACGCTCTTAGCTGTGCGCAGCAGCGCCAGAGCCGGCTTCGGGGGCCTAGCTCGCAAGTCCCACAGTGGTGCGGAGGCTTGCTGCGCTGCCCTTGCATAGTTATGGGTGGGAGTCAACTGATTCCCTCAGCTATTGGCCCCTCACGTGATGTAGCCGGTGTAGTTGATGGACCGCTTGGGGTGTGTGGGGTGGGGGTGGTGTCAGGTGT